TCCCTAAACCATTAAGATAACTTTGATGTTTGGTCTTCCTTACTTGCTGGAGTCATTTGTTTATTCTCTTAAGTGCTTTCTTTATGGTTCGGAACCACTCAGCACATGTCAAATCAATACTTTTGGACTAAAGGAGAACCATGGGCCAGCTGAAAACAGACAAACATACTAGGATACTAGGCTAGGATGTTGAGATTACATCTTCTGAGCAGTCAAGGACTATGGTTGGTTTGTCTGCTGGAAAAGTTGTGGCCCTTCAAACCATCAGACACCATCGACTTTTAACGATGCTATGATTTCGCTTTCAGAGATTCCTGCTTTGTTTTTGTTTTTTGTTTAGAGGTACATTTCCCTGAAATCTGGAAACCGCCTCACAAACACTCATCCTTGCCTGCCCATTTAAAAACAATTACAGCATCTCAATACCACTACAAAATAACAAGCGTTGGTTGATTTGTTTTGTACCCCTGTCGTAAATGAAGAGCCGTCACACATCATCAAGACATTGTCTGTCAGGAATCAAAGGATGTTAGAGAGAGAGAGAGAGGCCCATTGGTTTACTCCTCCCTCCCCCAGGCTGACACGGAAACTGGAGTCATGAACACGGTGAGTCATAAAACCTAATGGCTCCATCAGCCGGGATGCAGCAGATGGGCTCTGATCCTGCCCTGATTACAGAGCATGGCACATCTCCAGGCCTTTAATTTGAGGGCTCCAGCCCAGACCCAAGGAGCTCCACTCCTCAACAATGTTTTTGTTTAGAATGGGAACCCTGCTTGGGTTGAGTTGAGGCCTCTTGGCGCTGGCATTGCCCTCCTATAGATCTTCACCCATTATTGGAGCATTGTCTCTGCAGACTCTGGTAGTGGTTGCCTATCGGTCATGAGTTGCCTGTAAGGCCTACACTCCCTGAGCTCTTTGCTGTAACACCTCGAACCGGTAATTGCGATGGGTAATGACTAGTCGGTAAAGGGAAGAATGCACACCTCTTATATATGTTGGACAGTGATGTTTCAGTAGGTGTTCTATTTAAAGGCCCTAACTTTCTGAACCCTGTACAATAGCTATTTTATGAAATGGTAGTAATGGCTGATAATGATGGGTTTGGAGCCGTTGGTGTGGAGTAAATATATGGAACTTAATTGGTAGTGAATTACACAGTACCACAGTATATCATTGTCAGGGAGAGTTCCAAAAATGATTGGAGGTGGCGCTTGGCCAGAAGACTATTTCCCTGAGTGAACAGGTTTGCCAAAATACTACACGCATCCACTGAGAGTTACCTCTTTGTTGGCAATGTGCATCGTTTCTATATCACCTTTACAGCTATGAATAATGCTAAAAAAACACAACCAGCTGATTGCTGCCCTGCAACCAGCAGCTGACTTAACCACAACAATGGAGCCGAGGCTAACAACAGATTGCATCTTCTTCAGATGTCATTAGCAAAGTGAGCATCAATTTTTTTACATTGCAGGATCATTCTTTACCTGCTGAATAGCAGTCTCCTCTGCTAGCAGCTAATTGGAGCTGGCGCCATCCACCTATTGAAGGTAGTAATTTAGATTCATTGCAGCTAAAGCGTGGTTGAAAGAGCTCCTGAACACTAATTAAGGTGTTAATGAAAACAATGTGATGACAGCGATTGGTTTAAATGAACGCCCATCATTTTAACATGCTCTGCAACAAGGTGCCTGACCTTTCTGGAGAGAGAGGGCTTCTACACAGGACTTGTTTTTCAGGCCAATATGCAGTATTATTGTCAGGTATTATGCACCTTATATCAGGTAAATAAATTTTTCGGTATGTGAGAATAAGAATACTATACTGAAAATAAGTGGTATCTGGGCAAATAATGTATTCATTGTCAGTATATCACTTGTAACAACACTCTTTCCATGTTCTTACCACTTTATTGTGTGTCATAATGTAAAGTCCACCCTTTTTTTCCATAGTTTCAAATATTGGTTCAGGGTTATATTCTGATTATCAAAAATCATCACTTCTTATTTTGCAAGATTTATGTTTCTGTGCAACAATAGAGACAATACAGTGAAGTATTTAAGTATTTGGCCCAGTAACAAACCTACCAAGAGAGATGAACTTTTAATAATATGGTACATTCCTACTTTCATATCAGTGGAGGCTGGAATGGAGTGAATGGAATGGTATCAAACACACATGGTGTTCATGTGTTTGATACCATTCCATTCACTCCATTCCAGCCAATAAACTCCATTCCAGCCATTATTATGAGCAGTCCTCCCCTCAGCAGCCTCCACTGTTTCACATGTTAAAAACTATACCAATCTTCCAACATTACACATGAGTTTATCGATTGAGAATCCTTAAAAGTATCAGTATGCATTTAGCGTGCTTTGGGGTCAGAGTGTCCATAAAGTGGGCCCAATGGCTGTGTAAACACACTGTGAGTGTAAGAGACCCAGTTTATTACACCCTCCCACATTTCACCACTTCAAAGTGCAGACTGTAATTAAATGCTCGAGGTGTGTCCAAACATACCAACAAAACCAGAAGCTGTCTTCTGATGTTTTTACTCCGCATTTCAGGCAGATTGTTTTCTCCCCCCTTTTTTATCAGGCCCAAAGAGATTATGTTAAAAAGGAAGGATTTTTCTGAGGGCCCTAGACTACCAACACTCAAGGGGATTCCTCCTGCTGAAAATCTCCTTGGTCTATGTTCGGTTTGTACACGGCTTCAGTCACTCTCTGTCATTACTCACATATCAGAGTTTCCACAGCATTATTGCATTGAGCTGACTATAGGCTACATGCAGTTTACATGTCTCACTACCACGTAACCCTGTGACAGGCTGTGTGTAGCAGGGCCCGGGACTGTGATCGACAAGGTGCCTGAGGGTGGGGGCGTGACCAGAGCAAGTGGGGAGGTGACTCCTGAGTGGAGCCGCAAAACTGCAACAGTTTCTCCCCTGAGGAGCGAGGCTTTCATCTGCCCGCTCACTGGCGCCTTTGCAAACCTCAGATTGTCTGTGAAGTCACCCTGTTTAATAACGTACAGTCTCATGGGAACAGCGCCCTCACTCAGTCCCAGCCCTGTAGGCCCCCAGGCATGAACACACACACACACACACACACACACACACACACACACACACACACACACACACACACACACACACACACTGCTCTTACCAGTCAAACTGGGCAGCTGAGTTTGGGATAGACCTTGTGATTATCAAATAGTGGCTGTTTATTTCCAGTGGAACAATTTGTAAAGCTTTTTGTGTGGAAATGTAATATTACATAATGAGAGAAACACATTTTATCATAGTTCATTATTGTCAGGAATGTGATTAAAGTTTTTGTTTGATCACAGTAACTTATTTGGCTATTGGAATCTGGGCTTTGAATCTTGAAAACATAACTAAAGTAACTGAGAAGATATTTTAGCACTGAGCAAATTCTGTAGTCTACTGTATTATTATAGGTACAGCTGTTATAGGTAAAGTCATTTTCATTTCAACACAGCCTACTGTAGGGATCAATGATTTTTACAGAAACATTTTGTAGAAATCATAAAGGGATCAATTGAGGGGATCAGATTAATAACATTAAATGGACATAAACATACTGTATCTGGGTAGGATATGTTGCACCATCTGTTGTAGACAACCAAGATTATCCACCTGGAACTGATGAATGTAGTCTGATGTTTTTAATAAAAACACAAAATCTGCATATGGTGTGAGTAAGTATTTTGGCAGTCTAAAATATTTGCTGGAATAATGAAACAGTGATACAATTGAAAGTCAAAATGACATAGGGCAATTCCACGTAAATGTGTTTTTGTCAAATGTTTATTGGACATTGTTAAATGTAGTCATTGTGCATACAGTTGTATGGTTTGTTTAACTTTGCATTCAAATCTGAGTCTCAGAATCACTTGCAATAACATTGTTTAATGGTAGATTAATTCAAGACTGCTCTAAAGACTGTCCCTCCAAAAAATGTATGTGGTGGTATTCACACTTCTTCAAAGGTCATGAATATTTGATTTAGAATAGCTAGGCCTACTTGGTTTAAAGCTAGAATGCTTAATTCAAACAATAACAAAGCGCACACCCCGCCTCAGTTTTTGGTAAAAAGCCGAGGGATGGGCCTGGAGAAATGTAACCACTCTCAAATGAATAGACAGAGCTATGGACGCAAGGACTGACCATCCATGATATCAACATTATAGTTATAACCATGTTTTGAGGCTATAAAGTGTTTTTTCTTTACATTTACATTGTTTACAAACAGTAAAATAAGCTTATATTTTGGGTTTCCTGGTTGTTAAAATTCTAATAATTCCCTTAATTTAAGTTTATGTGACAAAACAAGCAAGTATAGAGTAGAGAATCATTGTACCATCTAAACCACAGTGAAATGCATGATATTTTCCATAACCAAAAATATTGTATTTTCAGCTGTTTGAAACATAAGAACAGGAAGCATAGAACTAGCATGTCATTTATATGTGGATTTGGTGGGGTCACCCAAAAAGTGACATATTGCAGCTTTAAGAGTGCATGATAAAGACTAGGGCTGCAAGAAAGCATTTTCCCACCAAATGTGTGTATCCTGGTTTGAGGTACCAACAACGTTTTACAATCAGGAAAAGGCACATCCCAAGAGAGATTGTTCATCTGTGTTTATCTCTTTCATAATTGGCCAGGTGGCAGTTGTAAATGAGAACTTGTCCTCAACTGGTTTACCTGGTTAAATAGAGGTGAATTTTATATATATATATATGCATGGGGCCTGTGTTTACATCTCTTGAGGTTAGGTTTGAAGTAATCCGTCACAGTAAATGCATGTGATATCCTGCATATATTTTTGAACCCTTGTGTGACAGACCAATGATTTGTAACAAGGTCCTCGCCTAAATTTAGGCAGCGCTGCGATTGGCCGAAAGTTCCACTGGTGCCACGTGATTACTTTACTTACCCCACACTTGACAGCCTGGGTCGCGATTCTCTCAACGCCACCTGTAGCTGCGACTGTCAGTCAGTCTTGCCGTGTGCCATTGGGACATACTTCGGTGGAAATGTCTACCCATGTGAGTTGGAGGGATAGCAGTTCATCGGAAGAGGACAGCCGACCCGAGCGGGAGAGGACGATGGATGACCGCAAAACTCAAGTGACTAAACACCATCATCCCTTCAGTGTGGAGGCTATAATGTCGGGTAGAAACACTCATAGTGAGTTTACAAGCAAACCCGACAATGTCTCTGTGGTTACATTTTCAAAGACTCAGAACTCTCCGTTCCTGTGCAGAGAGACATATAGCCCTCCCGAGGGAATCCGAAAGCACTTTGTCCCACCATCGCCCGTAAAGTCGGAGTCCTCCGAGCCGGATGACTGTGCTCCCTGGGTTACGAGCCCAAGATTCTCAGCGCAAACTCGTGAGTAACTTTTGGAGACTCACGTGAGAGAATTGAAATGAAATTGTATATACAAATCTGCTTCTTTTAAGTAATTGGAACAGATTTAGAATATTTATACATGTGTACTTCTTACCTCACTATTTATCATAACTTTTTATTTAGAGATAAAAAATAAATTAAAATACAAATAAAATTGACCCAATGAATTGGTATGTGCTGTCTCACAATATTGCATGGCTATAAATTCAATGTATTTGACAGGGTGTACACTAAAATGCTTTTTGCAAGTAATAACTTATGTATAGGCCTAATTCAATTAGGCTATATCTGAATGCTTGTGTAGAAGAAAAAATACATACCATAACTTAAGTCTTGACATTCAATCTATTAAACCAATCTGTGAAAAATAAGTATTAGGAAAAGCATTTGGGCAGGCCTGGTCTTCTTTACAACATGATTTGAGTTAATAAATGGCTTACTGTGGGTCTTACACTAAACTTAATCTTTAATTTGAAAACAATATTCAACCATTTGTATTCTTAATTTGGAATATTAAGATGTATTTCTATATATCTTTTTTTGGCATATCAGGCAGGTCTTCAAACCCTTAAATTGATTTGTGTGCCTTATTTGCTATATCCACATACATTTTAGTTTATGTGGTTTGTGTGTAATTGTCAGCATTGCTTAAAATCAAGCCAACAAATAACAGTAATCTCCTCCCTTGATATGTGTTTCCATTACAATGTTTGACATTTCCATTTTACAATGCACCACAACAATCTGAGTCTAAACTGTTGACTGGGTCAGATATTACATTTCTGCTCAAAATTGGTCTATTTTATGCAAAGAAAATGTTAATTTCATATATGGTCACTCACATGTACAGCGCTTGGGTAAACTAGTAGACCTATGTTTAAATTTCAGAGTTTTAAATAGCTATCAGCCTCCAACCAAATACCTTAGGGCACACTCAAACAGTTTTCTCTCTAACATTGTTAGATTATATACCAGAATGATGTGATAATACTACAGACTTTCTACCAGGATATTAAGTACATTTACTTTCTTACTCAAGTATCCATTTGTTAAATTAAATCTCTCTCTCTCTCTCTCTCTCTCTCTCTCTCTCTCTCTCTCTCTCTCTCTCTGTCTCTGTCTCTGTCTCTGTCTCTGTCTCTGTCTCTGTCTCTGTCTCTGTCTCTCTCTCTCTCTCTCTCTCTCTCTCCAGGGCAGGTGAGTCCTAGCTGTCCACTGAGAAAGCACAAGACCAATAGAAAGCCTCGTACTCCTTTCACCACCTCCCAGCTGCTGGCTCTGGAGCGTAAGTTTCGTCAGAAGCAGTACCTGTCCATCGCAGAGCGGGCCGAGTTCTCCAGCTCTCTGACCCTGACTGAGACCCAGGTCAAGATCTGGTTCCAGAACCGCCGGGCCAAGGCCAAGAGACTACAGGAGGCCGAGCTGGAGAAGCTCAAAATGGCTGCCAAACCCGTGCTGCACCCGGGCTTTACGTTACCCATGCCCCTGGGTGCCCAGCTCCACACAGCTGTCTCCCTGTACGGACAGTCTTACCCCTACCACCGACCAATGCTGCCCCTCTCACCTATGGGACTGTATGCTACACCGCTGGGCTACAGCATGTATCACCTATCACGATGATAGAGAGGAATATAAGTTTGTTCTGTTGATATTAGTGTTGGACACTTGGACATCACTCTTTTTAATACTATATTTTTCTCCTTGCTACAAAAACAACACTGAAATGGAGATGATTTTCTTTCATAAACACACCCGGAAAATACAGTGCCTCACTCACCAAAGAGCCTTAAAGACCTCAATGAATTGTTTTCTGGTTTCTTGTTTTTCTTCTGTGGATGGATGATATTGATTTGGCTATCCAGGCTACATCAACTAGTGGTTCTGTTTTACTTTATGTAATATATTCCAATGCAAATGTTCCCTTTATCTAATTGTCTCTATGGTATTGATCAAATGTAGTTGTATTACTGTCATTAAACTTGTCAGTATCTAGCATAGAAGATTCAGCTAAGGTCTGATTATCATGATTCTGTTCGCGCCGGGGTGGATCCAAACTTCAGGTCTGCCTTGTTTTACCACTCCTTGAAAACAGAAAGATAGGTTGGATTTCAGACCGCTTTCATTCCATACCGAAGGGTTGTCTTTGTTTTTTCATAAACTCAACCTCAACTAATTCAAAATTGTTGCTATTTTTACTAATTCAAAATTGTTGATGTTTTTACATTAGATTTGACTAGCAACACATTCTATTCAGCACTTCTGTTTCATAAGACATATTTTAGTCTTCATTTAATTTGTGTATACTTATTTATTATACTTTCACTCTACAATGTTTATGCTGGAAATGAATTTATTGTGTGATTCATGTTTCATATTTATAACATGCAGCTCAAATGTGGCAAAAGTTTCTGACAAATGTTATTTATAGCTTTTATTCTTTCATCTGAAGGTTCCATTGGAAGGAGCTACAGTATGCAGTTTTTATACATGTTTTTAATATCAGTAATGTATCTCATTTGCATGGACCAAAATTAAAAAGGCTTTTAAAACATGTTTGCTTATCGAGATATTATGTAAGTAAGAATATGTTGTATCTACACTATCTACATCTTTGAAATTGAACATTACCTACATTTTTTAATATGGTTGCATGGTGTGGTATGGTTGCATGGTTGCTAATGTTAATGTCAATATTTGACCAACCCTCAAATGTAAGCACTAAAAAGTCAGGTATCCAGATAATTCCAGATATTATTACACTTTTGTAAACCATATCAGTGAATGTCATTTTAAAACAATGTTTGATGAAGTTTTGATGATATTTGCAGTGTTCTGCTTCCAGTAAGTAATATTATTTAATTAATTTCATGTGATGACCTATTGTCTTAATGTCAGTTGGAATGGAGAACTACAGTCCCAAACCATAGCATCTATACTATACCATCTCTCTCCTCTCACCTCAGCCCTTAATGTTCTGAAAGCATTAAAGCACTAACTTCAGCAAGAATCTGTGGAACGATAAGTAAAGCTGTACCTGTGTCATCAAACACTGCAGTGCGTCATACCTTTGGGTTATTTCAATGACAAAAGTTGTTGGTCTACTGCAATTTAAACTCGCCAGGTTTTAGATGGCAGTAGTAGACCTATTACTTCACGAGCAGCACTCTCAGGACTAATTGACCTTAATGTTATTGGGTTTTAGTCTACTGTATCCGGCTTCTACTGCACTTCTACTTGTGTGAAACACCATTGGTTTGGAGAGCCAGATTGGTCATGTTTTATGGTCCTCCTTCCTGCCTTGCTATATATCATTCATCAGGGGACTAACCCCATAAAGGTGGCTGCCTTTGTGGCAATTGTAAGAGCTGCTTACAATTTTCGTGTGACTTTGATGTAATGAGGAAATCATTTATAGGCAGCACTCTATTTATGAGCTTCCCTTTAATCAAAACAAGGCAGCCAGGCAAACCCTCAGCGCAGTCAAGCAATCAGTTTAATGAATAGCAGATTGGCAGAGATGTTCAAGGATCTTTTTGGAAATGTCAGGTTGGCACTATATTACTTGAGGGAGTAGTTCTTTAGCTATTGAAACAATGTTCTATATTTGTACTAAATAAAGGGTTTCACCATTATTGTGATTTATTGTGATGCTATGCTATTTTGACCTTTTGACCATCAATGCAACGTTGAACAACTCTAGAGGCAGAGGATATATGACATTTCAATGTTTGGGAACTTGTCATTCAACCAAGGAGAGTGTATACTTATACTTCCTCTAGTGGTGGTGTTGGAAAGGGCACCTTGGGAACAAACTGCTGAGGTGGATTTCATGACCAAGGTTCTCGGTAGGTGGTGCTATCTGATTCCAATTGAAAAGGTAAATTGAGAATGGCAACAAACACACCCACACTCACTCATTCACTCTCACAAACAAAACACATTTTGCATTTGCATGTAATGTATTACATACTGTATATGTGTGTACAAATGGTGGACCGGTTGCATTCTTGAATATTCTGATTATATTTTTTATTTTCATAAGATCATGTTTGGTCAGAAATAAGTATTGTGAACAAACATTTTGAAGTTAGTATTGGCCGTTGCCTTGTGTTTGTTTTCATAAAGACTGTATGAGCCCATTTCTTTCCTCTTGGTGAAGAACCTCAGGAAGCTGCAAGCCCAGCATTTGGGAAACATAAGTGTGTACTCTGTTTATTAGTCTGAGGCACTGTTCCACACAACAGAGCACACATTGTTCCAATGTATTTTTAATGTAATCTCTCTATCTCAGGGCCGGTTCCAGGCATAAGCCCTTTTTTGGGGACGGGGAACTCAGTTGGGGTCTCAACTTACTACTGAGAGTAAGAACAGTAGAATACACCAGGTGCAATTTCGAAATTTGGTTGTGCATCAGCAGTTTTTCTCTTGCTATGTCAGTCAATGAAAGTCACTCAATTATCCATGTCAGCTAACAATTGTTAGATTTGTAGTTAGTCTAGCCAGCTACATTATCTAAACTTGTACTAATCATGGCTGAATACCTACCGTGTACTCAGGGCATGTGCCCAGGGGCCCTGACCTCCAGGAAGCCCCCATTGGTTTTGTTAGTCACTCTCAACCAGATATCATATTATCATGGCATAAGTCATTACAAAATGTGTAGAATTGAAGGAAATCTGCTTTAAAACATAAATGTTTCCCTCCACCGTCAAGAGGGGGGCCACTAAAATGTTTTACCACGAGGTGGGGCGCCCCCCAACCAAAGCTTGCTTAGGGCCTTCAAAAGGATAGAGCCCTGATCCATCTCATTGCACCATAGATGAGGGGAGCTGGAGAGAGGAAGAGAGAGGAGCAGAGCTCGCCTTTGTTTGAATACCACATTTTGATTACCAAACGATGAGGCCTGGGAACATGGAAAATGGATATAATGGATCAATCCCTTGTGTTGCCATGCCCATTGATTTTTGTCCTTGTGTGAGAGGATTTCATTGGTTCCACCACTAGGGAAAGAGAGAGGCAGTCTGCTTAGCAAATGAGGGGCTATGACCAACCAGATACACATAGATTTTCCACCAAGGGATTGTGTTGACTTCTGGGAGTATGCTACATAGTACATCAGGGTTTCCCAAACTCGGTCCTCGGGACCCCAAGGGGTGCACATTTTGGTTCAAATAATCTTCAACCTTTAATGAATCAGCTGTGTAGTGTTAGGGCAAAAACAAAAACGTGCACCCCTTGAGGTCCCGAGGATCGAGTTTGGGAAATGCTGTAGTACATCATGTAAAAATGTGTATAGTCATAATATAATTATCTAGGCAAGGAACAAGATCTCCCATCATGTTACCAATTCATTAGTAGTATGTTCTTCATCCTTGTGGAAACTGATGAATCAAATTTGATGAATCAAATCATCTCCATATTATGTTTGAAACGTAAGAGAATACAGTGAAAAACATATACAATTGAAGTCGGAAATTTAGCTGGGGAGTTTTTGAGTCATTCAGTCAGAGTTTCCTCTTGATTTCTAACAATAGCATACATTCTTCGTTAACAGCGTTATCTGACAAAAGTATTGATGTGAGTTTCTGTGCCTCTGCCTCCCCACACATTGTTTTCACCATATCAATTGTGGCCGGTAGTATCAAAGTCAGTGGCAATTTTAGCATGTAGAAAACACCTCCAAATGTTTTGGGATGCATGCTAGCAAAGCCACTACACAACACAACACTAAACAATACATGAATTGGACAATAACAGTGACAAACGGTGCCCACAAATTGTTAGGGCCTACATAAAGCTAACCCAACAGCAGTCCCAACAGCAGTCCCAGCACCTTACCACCACTACACATGGCTATCAGCTGAAGCCTTGTCTGGCAGCGAAACAGTTAATTCAGCCTCATTTACTGACTTTAAAAAAAAACCTAGCTGATATGGCTGACTTGCTTAAACAAATGAGGTTTCTACTGACAATTGAGATGTACAAACTATGGCATAAGTGGACGACAAGCGGATAAGAGGCAATCCGGAATTTCGATGAAGACATTAATGAGCGGACGTAGTCAATATAACTATTTGTTCAGCGACAGATTTCAGAACATGGGCCGTTCTTACAGTATTCTCCCTGTACACCGAATCAGAACCGTAGGATAAATAAAGGGGACATGTAAGCATAAATGAAAACACCTTACAATATTACATGATTACATTTCTCTAAAACAGGCTATTATGAGGGGAAAAGTGACCAAATTATTAGGGTGAGGTACATGGGCTTACTACACAACATACACTTAATATTACTTTCTTGGCTACAGTATACATATCGCCCTGGCATATTACATCATTTATGCAGCAGCATGCAATACATTTTTGGACTCACCTTGTTGTGCTGTCCTCACTTAAACAGGAAGGTGGCACGGCAGTCCTTCTTGTGGGCTCTAGAAAGAGGCCCGAAATCCTGACTTGGAATTCCGAGTTGGATGACCGTTCAAGATTATTTTCCGTATTTTCCCAGTCGGAGCTTGTTTTATCCGAGTTCCCAGTTGTCTTGAACTCACTGAAGTCTGAGGTTTCCCAGTCCTGAGTTTCCAGTTGTTTTGAACGTGGCAGAAGTCATGCTGG